TTAAGAAGAATGCAAGTCTTCATTCTAAACAAAACATTCAGTTTGATACAAAAGTGACTTAATAAAAATGTTTATGAAGCATCTGAACTGGTGCTTCAGTTCAGATGTATTGGTACTCTGAGGCTGCCATACAGACTGAATCTAAATATCCTTATTTCAGCCTTGCACTGTCAATCGACGATATCCCTAGAATTTTGATCCAAGGATACTTAATGTACTTATTTTGACCAACACAGTATTCTTCACATTTCTTTTTTACACCCTGTTATCAAACATATCAGCTAATCTGTTTACAGTAGATCCAAAAAAGTCCAATGCAGCCTTTTTTTCTATTAAAAAAGGTAAGAATGTGCAACTGTAATAAAAGCTGAACTATTTATTTCTTGCCTTTGCCTTCCACCTTTCCTCCAATGAGCTCATGGTGGTATATATAGCTCTGCTCCACAACAACCCTGTGGTGCAGGTTAGGCTGAGAGAGACTGACTGCCAAGTGAGAATTGGAACAATGACCTCCCAGGTTGACTAACCGCTAAGCCACACTGTCTCTCTATATTTGTTGATACTGAATCTAAAGGCTCATCCACATGTCCTGTTGCTCCACTGCTTTCCCACCGGGGAAAACCTCTCTTTAGCACTCAGTTTGCTCCAATTTAGCACTAAAGAGTGGGCTTTTCAAGGAGTGGGGGATAAGCAAAAGTATGGACAAGCCCTTCATCAATACGCTATGAAATCTGATGCACAGCTGCAGATTTCTTTTAGGGGAAAAAAGAAAAACCAAACTAACTACTGAACTGTTTGTATATTTTGCATACGGGGGCCAGCAATAAAAACAGACCAAGAGACCCAACTCTTCAGGTTGTTGGCAGTCTGTTCATAACAGTGACAAAAGAAACATCACAACATTTAATGCCGGCCTGTCTTTCCCAAACCAGCTTTTTCTTTAATTGAGGCACTCAGCATTACGCACAAAAGAGTACACTGCCAATTACATTCCCTTATAACAATGCAGCCCTCTCCAAGGAAAGTCTACCTCTCCTCAAATATATTGACAACCAAGCCAAACGTCTCCATTAAATTGCATCAACTTGTTACTGAAGTGAGATGAGCCCACACCCCGCAGTCCCCTGTGGCTGGACTTAACTGTCCAGGGGCCATTTACCCTTTTTTACCTTTTACATCCAACAGCACTAAAAAGTCAAGAGACGCTTAGTCAAAAAAGCATCCACCTGGATCTGGTTGCAATTTCGTATTCCGCACACATCAAAGGGGAGGAGATGGTGTTGAAGTCTTAAGACAAAGTTGAAGATTAATATTGGATTTAACAGTGATTGATGTCGTTATTTAAACCAGAAGCTGATTATTAGGTTCCCCAGCACTTATTTCCGCTACTTTTGCAAATACTTGAACGCTAATTAATGCAGCTCGTTCAAGCTTTGCTTTGGGAGCTATCTAAAAAAATGGAAAGGAGGATGCGCAAATCAAAACATTCCAGCGAGCAAATGGTAAGAGGAACCCAAACTATTCAAAATGTGATATCTGGTCTTTTTTATAAAAGAGAGAGAGAGAGAGTAAAGCAGAAGCCATCCATCACTGACCTAAAATGAAATAACAGTCAGTCCAGGAAAAACTTGACTGAAGAACCCAGAGGCTTTTGGTCTCAGTCAGAAGAGAGCTCTTGTGTAATTGATTAGCAACTTGAGGGGAAGTTTAGAAACGGCACAGTGAGGCCTTTGAAAATTACTTGAAGCACAACACTTCACTTCTATTGCTCACTTTCCTGCCTGGCTTTCAGAATCCCAATTTGGCTAATGCAAAGGGCATTCTGGTTTGCGTTGTTGGGGTATTGGGGTGGGGCATGCAAGTACTCCAAATTCATGGTCCTACCCAGTTTTTGTTAATGTGCCAGTACTCATCATGAAGTTGCTACAGTAAGTGTCACACTTTAAGCATTTTGGGGGGGGGGGGTGATGGTACTGTGTAGCCTTGAGTACCCACAGAAAAAAGCCATGGTCCTATCAGTAACATCAATGCAACACAAACACTGTTCTAGTTTATGCCTGTTCCCAGACCACAAGCGGTACAAATCTGCCTCCACTTTAAAGAAGACAGATTAGAAAGAGATGTGGTTGTTTTTGCCCTCTGATTACTTCCACGGTGCTCTAAGTGATGGCTAGATGTGGTTTGGGTGAAGGTTACCAGATGTCCCTGTTTCCAGGGGACAATCCCCGGATATACAGCTTTCTCAGCATTCACATGTAGATAGCAAACAATAAGTGTCCTCAGATTCATTGGGGAAAAACTGGTAACATTAGTTTGGGTGGATTGTTCAGTTATATATGATAACAGCTGATCCATGTCCTGTTAAGAAGGCCAGCACTGTATATAACCACATGCTCCATCCTAAATACATGGAAGGCTGTAGGTCAGGGATCGTGGAACACCCAGTAGCCCCAGCTTATGCTACCAATGACCAGCAATGATGGACATCCTAGTCCAACAGCATATGGAAGCAACCACAATGTAATGATAATCAAGAGACAAGAATAAATTAGGGGTCACCCTAGCAGTGGTAGAGAATGATGAAGCAGCAGGCTCACAGTTTGCACTGGCCAGAACATTGGGGGGGGGGGCAAGGAAAAATGCCCAGGCTGGGACAGCAAAGGGACTCAGATTGTACCCATTGCCACACTTAAAACAACCCATTTCAAGGGATGGGTTTCCCCTGGCAACAACCATCAGTAGATTCCGGGAACCAGATGACTTTCTAAGGGCATATTCCCCCATCTCTTTTGGCTCTTGGAAGCGATGGTTTTCATTTAACCTTAGCCAATGTTTTAGCCCCTTTGCCATAGCCTGAGCCAACGGCGTCGAAGCCAGTACCACATACTGAGCCCTGAAGTGCAGAGCAGCACACAGTTGCAGTCACTCACAAAGTTGGGGCTGTGGACAATGTGGAACTTCGCAAAAGTGCAGCTTCCATAGGCTGGAACGAGCCACGTGAATCACCCCTAATCTAAGAACAAGACTATCCATTTTCTAATAAATGAATAAGGAATGCAGATGAGTGGTGTGTGCACTTGTGACTTTTCTGGCAAACACCATTCATAGCCATACACCCATTTCAATAAATGTATCAAATGTATCAAATCTTGTTATGGATGTCTAATGTTAAAACAGAGCTTTAGAGCCAAGCCAGATGTAACGTTAATCACATGGATGTAATTGAGAGACATATTTCATTAAAAAAAATAAAATGTCCATGGCTTGGGGCAGTCCTGAGTATCTTAATGCCAAGACTACAGTAAATAGAAGGGGGAGTTTAGCCCTTTGTCCTCTTCTGTGGTCCTGCCAAATCATACATCACTTCTGAGATGCTGCTACCTACATTGGAAGTGAAGGATATACACACACACACACACACACACACGTGTGTGTGTGTGTGGTCCTAACACGGTTCAGGCCCCCTACAGTTGCTATTTAATTCCTCTTTTTAAAACCTGCATGTTAATTGCAATCAAGCAGGTAACATCCCATCTAACTTGGCCCCAGAAATACATGCACAGAAAGCCAACGGGGAAATAAAATGGCCCACTGGCAGACAACTCTACCAGGGTCACCTCAAACTGAAACAGCTAACCTAGTTGGCAACCACGCAGGCCCCAGATTCGCTTTAATCCCAGAGGTTAATCGGTATGTTTTAGGAACCGGCTGGCTGTGCTGCTCCGAAGATGTATGAATGCACCCCCGCAAACGGCCAACTATCAATATTAATTGCATCACTTAAGCCTAAGAAGGGAACAATCAGATTGAAACGTGACATCTTTGAGTCTATGGCACCCTCTATGCAGACGACTTAATTCAGTCCTGGAAACTGCAGGTGGTTTAATTCAGTGTTGGAAACTGACAGGCAGCAAGTTTCACTCGGGTAGGCTGCAGCAGCTGTTCCTTCTTCTTTCAGTCCTTTGCTCACACCCACCACAGGTCCTTCCTCCCCCTTTCTTTTCTTAATCACCGATTCATTCTTTGCACACTGAGTTCTGAAGATACAGCAGTGATAAGAGGACAGCAAGAAGCACAGAAATAGGCTTGAGAGAAAACCTGACATACCATTACTGTGCAAAGGGGAAGGGACAACTAATCATCCTTAGCAACTCAGAACGTTAGTTGGATTTGAAGGTGGACCTTCAGAGGAGATCTTCATGGTAACTCACGCCCCTAATCTTTTCATTTCCCCCAGATAGTTTGAAGTCTACAGTTCTTTTAGTTCCCCTTTTTTCCAGGTGAAGCAATGTTTTTACAGGTGCTCCACCGAAGCGGTGTAAGCAGACTCCTGAGCGAGGCAGAGCACACCCTACTGGCAAAGGACAACTGTCACGACCCCTTAATAAAGCCGGCCAGGTGCAAAATAAAAGGGGGCACCCCCCCCATGCACACACAAATAAGAGACACAACTTGGGGTCCTTCTCTTTCTGTAGTTTGTGGCAGACTGCTGTGCCACAAGCACGAAGGCCTGCTCTTTTAATGAATGAGGCAACAGGCAGCCTCACTTACACCATCTAAAAGGGACTAGAAACTTGCGTTCCACTGTGCAATTCCTTGAAGGCAACTTAGAACTTGAAAAGAGCGGGGAGGGCAGCCTTCCCTCTGTTCTTGTCGCAGCTCCCCAGGCGAAAAAGTGAACATCTTGCCAAATATCTCCGTCTCTCCTCTGCGCGCGCCCCCTTCCCCAACTCGTTCTTCCCCTGTTGGTCTCTTTGGAAATCTAAAACGGATTCTCTATTCACTGCACAATGAGGCAATTCATCGCCTAAGCAGCAGCAGAGTGGAAAAGGCACTGCTCTCTTTCCCTGGGAGGCGAAAGGAGAAGGGAGAGGGAGAGAGAGGGAGATATCCAGGCAAAGCGAGCGTTTCACCGGGGTGGTTGGGGAAGGGGGGGGGAGGAACGAAGGCAGTCCCATGGCTACGCGAGTGCCGAGATTTCCCCCTGCCCAGGTGCTTACCTGCGATCTCCTGATAAGGGATGTTGAGCAGGCTGAATCCTTTGGCTTTGTACGCCTCCCTCACCTCGCCGCAGCTCCGCGCTTTCGCGTCCGCCGCTCCGGCGCGCAGCGACAGCAGCAGCCCCAGCAGCGCCCCGAGCAGCGCCCCGATCCAAGGAACCATGATGCCCAAAAAGGGGGTTAAGAACAGACCAAAAAGAAAGAAAAGAGACACTCCTCTTCTTTCACCCCCGCCTCCCCCTCCAACCCCCAAAAAGAGAGCCCCTCGCCAAATCCACTTGGAAAGATAAATCCCACGGAAGAGCCTTCTACCAGAGCCCCGAGTCCTGCGCAGCCCTGCGCGCCTCGACAGAGCGCACCCCCGCGGGGGAAAGAGCAACCGGGAGCCCCCCTCCCGTCGCGGCCAAACTTTGCGAAGCCGGCTGGGAAGGCGAAGGAGGAGGGCGCACCCGAGGCAGGCGAGGCAAGGCGGCAGCCGCCCGCCCCTTCTCTCGTCTCTCCGCCTCCTTCTCCTCCTCCCTTCTTCCTTCCTCGGCGGGTCCCGTTAAGTCCGGCCCGGCTCAACGCCGCTGGTGGTGGGGCGCGCTGATCCTCGGCGCCCGGGAGCGCGGAAAGCCCGGAGGTGCGGCGCGGAGGCTGGAGATGGCGAAGCAGCCGCTGGCTTGGCTTTACGCACGGGGAGGAGGAGAGCCTGGAGAGGGTGGCTTGGCTTGGCTGTTGCGCGCTGCGCTGCTGGTGCTGCTGAGAGGCGGACATCCAGGAAAGGAGAGCCGCTGCGCCGCGCAGCCTGCCCAGAACAGCAGCAGCAGCAGCAGCAGCAGCAGCAGCAACCGCCTCCTGGCAGAACAGGCGGCCGCGGCAGCCTAGCAGGGAGCCGGCAGGAGCGCACGCGGGGCAGGCGGGCGAGCGGCCGAGGAACGTGCTCCACATTGCAGCGGCGGCTTGCCGGTGAGGAGGAGCGCGAAGGAAAACCCGGGATGGACTCCGAGTCGTGTCACCCCCCCCCCCCACGGCCGCCGACCAACGCTGCCCGCTCCCAAGTGAAAAGAACGCCCCGCTCTCTCCAGAGGAGAGGAACCCCACAACGCACGTTTTCGCTCAGAGCACCCCCCCACTTTATTCATTAGGAAACGGGGGGGGGGCTCACGCGCGGAAAGGATGGGGGGTCCCTTAGCATCCCCTCCCCAAGTTAAGAACAAGGGTACCCTTGTAAGTGGGGCCCCCATCCCACTCAGCAGGAGATATGTTGACATTAAGCAGGGGAATCGTACCCTGCTTATCTCCAGTGATACACGGATTTGGGGTGGCGGCGGCGGCTGTGGTCCTGCTGATTTTGTTCCCATTGACCAGCATGACCAATGGTTAGTGGGGGGGGGGAGCTGGAGTGCAGCAACGTCTGTAGCAGCTCAGGCTCTCCTTCCTTGCAGTGCCCTAGGAAATGTGGTGACATCAGGGACAGCGATCAAGAGGGTGACCAACTTTGCTTTTCATCAGTCCCGTCTTCTCCGTCCTTAACAATGCCTGGGTGTGCAGGCACTGGCCAGGCACCATACAGTGAAAAGCTTCTGAGAAGCTGTCTTAAACTAAGCAAAAGCTTTGCTCCATCTAACTCAGAATTGTGTTGCAGAGGTCTATTCCAGCCCTACCTGAAAATGCCAGGGACTGAACCTGGACTTTCAGCATACAAAGCATTTACTCCACCACTGAGTTATACCACTCCATAAAAAAAGGAACAGGAGCAGGCACAACTGGATTCCCTCCACCCCAGTCAGTTGATCACCTTCAGTGCCAGATTTGGGGCAGTGGAGGCAGTTCTCCTGCACAGGATGCCTTACTACCAAAGACTACCAAAGTCTGCCCCTGACACCTTATAACTGACTGCCAGATGTGAGGCTATGGATGACTGTTTTACCAAATCCATCTACAGTACCTGAAGGAGGACTATACGATTAGGGTATATTACCCTCTCCTTCTCATATCCTGCAGAACATGTAGCTTGGCTCACTTGCTTGAGTCACCAAGAACTACATGTTGCAGTGATTTATACTTTTGCCTCCATTTGTAGCATATTAAATATTAGGCTGACCTCCCATAATCACAGCAATTCTGCAAGGTAGATTACTGAACACCATTATTACAGTTGCTATTAAAGGTAAAGGGTAAAAGGACCCCTGACCATTAGGTCCGGTCATGGCCAACTCTGGGGTTGCGGCGCTCATCTCGCTTTATTGGCCGAGGGAGCTGGCGTACAGCTTCCGGGTCATGTGGCCAGCATGACTAAGCCGCTTCTGGTGAAACAGAGCAGCGCATGGAAATGCAGTTTACCTTCCCGCCGGAGCGGTACCTATTTATCTACTTGCACTTTGACGTGCTTTCGAACTGCTAGGTTGGCAGGAGCTGGGACCGAGCAACGGGAGTTCATCCCGTCACGGGGATTCGAACCGCTGACTTTCTGATTGGCAAGTCCTAGGCTCTGTGGTTTAACCCACAGCGCCACCTGCGTCCCACTACAGTTGCTATTAGAGCTGAGTAAAAGAGACCTGCTTAAGATTTGAAATAAAGATGCCCCAATTCAGGCTACATTTCTAGGAGTACAGTGGTACCTCGGGTTACATACGCTTCAGGTTACATACGCTTCAGGTTACACACTCCACTAACCCAGAAATAGTGCTTCAGGTTAAGAACTTTGCTTCAGGATAAGAACAGAAATCGGGCTCTGGCAGCGCGGCAGCAGCAGGAGGCCCCATTAGCTAAAGTGGTACCTCAGGTTAAGAACAGTTTCAGGTTAAGTATGGACCTCCGGAACGAATTAAGTACTTAACCCGAGGTATCACTGTACGTGGAATTGTAGGGCCTTGCATAACAAGGGCCCTGGGTGGGCCAGGAAGAGCGGCTGACAGAAGACCATGGGGATGGATCCAGTGGGTTTGGAAGATCTCTATTGGTGTTGGGAGCACTCAAGCAAGGGGATCCTGGGGGAGATCCTGAGGCGGAAATTGCTCTCACCTCATGCCATCTCCCCACAAGTCCCGCAGCGCAAGGCACAAGTTTTGTCTCCCATCTCCAGGGCTATCTGAGGCAGACTCTGGGAGAGGGATACCCTGCCTGTCCCATCTGCCTCTGAGGAGGCAGCAAAACCTCCATCACCCAGCTCCCAGAGGTGCCAACACAGTTCAGCATTCTTGGGAAAGTGCTAGGTTGCTTGCCCAGTCTGAGAGCCAGACTCACTTGCCACACTGAGTTGTGTCCTGTGCCCTGAGTTCGAGTTCTTCCTTGAATGGGACTTACTTTTGAGCAGACAGGCGTAAGGTTGTGCTGTTCTCCCATTTTGTACAGGGCACTCCTATAGTCCTGGAGTCCCCAGTGTCTTGCCCACTACAGGACCCTCAGACACCCCCCTGGCACCCAGCATTAACTCCTTGCCTTCCAATATTATTTGTTTAAGCCAGGTGTGGGGAACCTTTGATCCTTAAGGTGTTATGAACAGCAAGTCCCATCAACGAATGGCCAAGAGGGATGGAAGTTGGAGAGCAAAGGTTTCCCAAGACCTGCCAAAGGTGGATTAATTGGGCTGCATCAATAGGAGTATAGCATCTAGATCAAGGGAAGTAATAGTGCCACTGTATTCTGCTCTGGTCAGACCTCACCTGGAGTACTGTGTCCAGTTCTGGGCACCACAGTTCAAGAAGGACACTGACAAACTGGAACGTGTCCAGAGGAGGGCAACCAAAATGGTCAAAGGCCTGGAAACGATGCCTTATGAGGAACAGCTAAGAGAGCTGGGCATGTTTAGCCTGGAGAAGAGGAGGTTAAGGGGTGATATGATAGCCATGTTCAAACATATAAAAGGATGTCACATAGAGGAGGGAGAAAGGTTGTTTTCTGCTGCTCCAGAGAAGCGGACACAGAGCAATGGATCCAAACTGCAAGAAAGAAGATTCCACCTAAACATTAGGAAGAACTTCCTGACAGTAAGAGCTGTTCGACAGTGGAATTTGCTGCCAAGGAGTGTGGTGGAGTCTCCTTCTTTGGAGGTCTTTACAGAGGCTTGACAACCATATGTCAGGAGTGCTCTGATGGTGTTTCCTGCTTGGCAGGGGGTTGGAGTCGATGGCCCTTGTGGTCTCTTCCAACTCTATGATTCTATGATTCTATGATTCTATGAATTTTGGCTTTGTGACAATTGTTTGGGGAGGGTTGTCTGTTTTTTTTTTGGGGGGTGAGGTTTTGGGGGGGCTGCTTTTGTTTGTTTTGGGAGGTGTCGGTATTAGCTTGTTTTTGAGAGGGCAGTTATCTGAGCGTAGCCAGTTTTTCTTCTGTGAAATGGATCTTTTCTGATGCTGATAGCAGTTTTCTGTATTCTCGAATGTATCCCCAAGGTCCAAAATAGTTGGGGTCCCCTGGTATATACAGGTACCTGAAGCTAAGCCTCATTGAACTCCTTGCTAAATCCCCATGCAGCAACTGTGCCAAATCTCATCTTCTGTGACATGGTGGTCATGATTAGTTTTCTCCTATGTGAATTGCCTGATGTGAAACTCCAGGTGACTCAAGTCATCTTGTAATTGTGATGAGGACAAAGTTGCAGCTGGCTATTTTTGGTCAGTATGACTAAAGGCTTTGCCACACCACTTTGCAATTCTAATGTCAGAGATAAGGGGAAAGCAAAAGATGTGCAGCCAAATACCTCTGGTGGGACCAAACAGTTGATATCTATTAGTTGTGAAAACGTGATGGCAAGTGCAAAAAAACTTACTTCACTTTTAAGTGGATATCCTCCACAACACGCCTGTCCAACAGGTCGATCGCAATCTACCGGTCGATCGTGTGCTGTCCCTGGTCTATCCTGTATCTGGCCAATCCAATGGGTAGATCACTGCCAGTTTATTTATAGAGGGAGTAGATCACAGTCTCTTGGAAGTTGGACACCCCTGATCTACAAGATTGTAGCCATGCACTTTCCCACAAATGCAGCAAAGTCAGAAGCTGTAGGCATGCTGTCCTTTGACTTTCTATTAGAGCCGAGCAAAATTATCACTAGTGAAAATGCTTTTGGGAAGATAAACCTATCTAAGTGCCCCTAAAAACCTATCAATTGTACCTGTTTGTGTGGAAGGGCCGTGTTTTCTCCTCTGTGCCCCAGCCAATTAGGGATAATGTAAT